AAAAGTTTAAGAAGTGTTTTCAAGTATTTTTCATAGAAGTTTTGGGTGCTATCAAGGAGTGTCTTCAAGTATCAATTCTCAACGGTTTTCAAACATCCAAGGAGTGCATTTATTTCAACGTCCAAGTTTCATCGAATTTTTCAATCCAAGTTTTCAAAGTTTCAAAAGCATCAATCAAGGTAGATAGAGGTGCAATGTGTTTAATCGTGTTAAGTTATAAGTTTCGATTCATGTTAATGTTTGTATGTCAAATGGTTCTCCGGTACGGCATATACCTCTATGTTAATGGTTGTATGTCAAATGGTACTCCGGTACGGCATACCCCTCTATGTTGAAGAAATGTTCGTATGTCAAATGGTGCACTCGGGTACGGCATACCCCTTCATGTCAAATGGTGCCTCCGGATACGGCATGTATGAAAAGTTATAAAGTTAATATTTTGAAATGTATAGCTTGATCACGAATGCACCTATGACACCTATTGAATTTTTCAACTCACGGGTTTAATCTCATCTCTACAGATTGAAGGAATTCTACCTCGGGCATAGATGGAGAGTGATGCAACGAGCTCATGGAAATCCAGTGAATAAGTGATTTGGATTTATTTTTATGAAATGTTTTCCAATGTTATTTCTTTAAAGTTTTGAATAATCCAGAATGCGAGAACAAGTTATGTTTTCTTCAAATAAATTACATTTTGTTGTTTTGAAAAATGATTCAGTGTTTTTGTTTAAAGTATTTGAAGTATTGTTATTTAAATTATTATCCGAAGATGTAAGCTTCCGCTAAAATGTACACACTTGTTACTAAACCACCGGTTAAGCTAAATAAAGTAAGTAGCGTTCCGGTCCACTAGGGATTGGGGCGTTACAAAAATTTCGTATAGATTTTGTTCATTGTCGCGCTTCAAATCAAATATGGCTACAATTTCATCTAAGTTTTGTTAAATGGCACATTTTCAATTAAATTTGAGTAAAATTTCATCTGAATTTTGATCATTGGTGCTCTTCCAATCAAATTTCACTAAAATTTCACTTGAGTTTAGTTCATTGACACATTTCCAGTGAAATTTGACTAAAATTTTACCTGAATTTTGTTGTGTGGCTCGTTTCCAATCAAATTTAACTAAAATTTCACTTGAGTATGGTTCGTTGACGCGTTTCCAATCAAATTTAATTAAAATTTCTTTTGAATTTTGTTCATTGTTGCGTTTCCAATCAAATTTGACTAAAAGTTCACATGGGTTTAGTTCATTGGCACGTTTTCAATCAAATTTGACTAAAATTTCACCTGTGTTTTATTCATTGGCATGTTTCCAATCGAATTTGACTAAAATTTCACTTGAATTTGATTCGTTGCGCGTTTCCAATCAATTTGACTAAAATTTCACCGAAAATTTGTTCATTGCCATGTGTCTAATCAAATTTGACTAAAATTTCACTTGAGTTTAGTTCATTGGCGTGTTTTCAATCAAATTTGACCAAATATTTAGGCGTCTGTGGCCAACTATTCGACTGATTTGTGATTAAAAATTAAGTGTTTGTGACTAAAAATTTATTTTTGACCAATAAACTGTGTGACTTATGTGACTCAATAATAAAATGCGACTTGTAATTTGAATGATCTGTGGCCTCGAAATAATATATCACCTACAAAATTTTTGATTTGTGACCAAGAAATAATCTGTAATCTATAATTATGAATCTGTAACCATTAATCATGTAACTGTGACTTTATTATCTTTATTTAAAAAATATTTTTAATTAATTAAATATATACATGATTTTTGAATTTTCAAATTATTTACCTGATATTTGAATTGGAGTAAACATAACACCTGAAATGTGATTTTTTTTTCCCATCTGAATTTACAGGTGTTAAACCGTCGAATATGTATTGGAATTTCATGGGTCCTCGAATCTTTTAAAAAATTAGAAATGCTTAAACCTCAGAAGAAAATTAAGTTATGTCAAAGATAAAATTCTATTATAATTTGTAAAAGATTGTACTTTACCTTTAAATGATAGTAATTATCCCTTTTGTATATTCAAGAAATAGAACTTTTAGTATTTTTTTTTCTCTGATTTTCATTGCTCTCACGCTATTCTATACTCCATCTTCACTAATCAAATATTTCATCCATCCCAATTATATAGGCTTATTTCGTTTTTCACACGAATTTCTTAATCTTCTATAATGTCATTGAAAATTAATTTTTGTCAAGATCTTTCGTAATTTATCCTTATTTAATTTTCATTATGTAGTAATAAATTATTATTGAAATTTGTAAAAAATTTGAATGATTTAATTAGAAGAAGACGAAACGGAAGTAAGAAATGTGTGTATTTGGATGATTTCAAAAACTTGGGATATTACGTGGGGAAAATTGAACAAATGTATATTAGTAAATGAATAAAACAAAATATTTTAAATTAGGAAACATGCTTATATATTTGGGACAAGAGGAAAATGAAACTCCGCCTATATTATTGGGATGGAGAAAGTACGTAGTTTCATTATTGACTTTGACACTTTAGGGCACAAAAAATTTCGATGCATGTTGTTTTAATAAATTTCTTGCTTGAACGTGTCTAATAAGAAGTAAAATATAGATCTATTTTATTTCCCAATTTGATAAACATTAATGTAAAAATGAGAATGAAAAATATAGCTGTTATGGGTCTCACACAAGAGATAGAAAATCAAATATGGTGGCTTGATGTAATGGATAACGATCATATTTTTCATTTTAATGGACAAATAATGAAAAACAAACGGGAGTTTAGTTTAGACATGACAGGAGTATGCAAACTGAAAATTTATATCATTTCTAGAGATTCTTGCTCGGGAGTCGAGACACAAAGCCATTAGAAGAGAGAAAAAATTAATAATAATTACTACTACTCAATGTCCGTGTCTTTGCCGATTAGACCACTGCCACCCCTGCCTATTTAACTAAAACGATCGTATCAAATGCACAAACTACACTAATCAAAGCAAAATTATTCACAAATTTACTAGGTTGCCATCCCTCTCTTTCTATATGTAATTATGTGTAGTCAAAGTTTCTCATTTTTCCATGTCGACATAATTAATTAAGAGGTTAAAAATTTAGCAAAACTCCCGTCGCACTTGACGAGGCATGATTAATGCTTGATCCATAACTCTCAATCTAAGCCCTGTTTGGTAAAAATTTTAATTTTAATTTTAATTTTAATTAAAATCAACAACTAATTTTAACCACACATTTTATAAAACTCACAACTTTTTAACCACACATTTCATCAACTTTTATCAAAATTTACTAAAAATATGATTTTAATCCCAACAAACAAGGGCTAAAACTAAATCCTTATATTTGGAACATGACTATCCTTTCAAAAGCTCCTTCGACAAGATTTTTATTTTTGCTTCCTAACTTTTTGAAATAGTTTTATTAGATCAATTTTATAAAAAAAAAAATTCTTTCAACCCGGCAAAACATTTAAAAAATTATTTAACGTGTTCAAAAAGTAACTTCTCAATTTTAGAAATAATTTTTAATTTTTCAAAGAGTCATAACTACAAGACATAAATTACCCTACCAAAATCGTGTCATTATTATGAAAAAACAAATTTGCCATTTCGGCATATAAATATAACTTAAGTCTTTCTTTCATTTAATTTATACTCGATTGGCGTTAACCCCTATCCATTTTAGATAACTTCTTGTCTATAAAAACGAAGCGTTAATATAAATATGTCATCTCCCCCAATAAACCATACCATTATTTTATGAAGCTTTAAAGCTTTCAACATGTGCAAGCAATCTTTTTTCAGCGTGGCTTATGGTCCATGAAAATTTGCATTTATCCTAATCAATAAATAACGTGTTATTATCCTAATTAAACAATAATTTACGTTCCCTCTCTACTTTTTGGGAAATGGATCCACTTTCAAGTAAATTTAATACTGAATAGCTGCAACACATTAATCAAAATGTAATTGCAGACATGTGAACCACAACATGAAACATGTTACTGACATTATAAAATTTTGAAATAGATCAGTACATAGGATAGACCATTTGAAAATACAATAACAATATGCAAAATTTTAGTTTAGATCATGACAATGAACCTGGCTAGGGTCGCCGGCTGCCGAGTTTCGGCTCGGCTCTGCTCGGATAGACACCTAATCTAGATATTATTACCCTACAGCATCGAGAGATAGAGAAACAGAAACAAAAGGATCAAATACTACGCTAATTCCAACGAAACAAATATCATTAATCCTTTATCTTAACTCTGTCTACAACAAATTTTTTAAGATAACTGTATAAAGCATATACACTTATCTTTTAAGAAAACTTAAGAAGACAAGATTTAATATTGGATTTAGGTCAAGATGCAAACAGGAGCACATGAACACAGTCAAACTAATTTTAAAAAGAGAGACACCCAGAAAGGGCAGCAGAACTCAAAAACAAAAGGCCAAAAATATGCATTAAATCTAAGTTCTAGGGCCAGAAAGTGAAAGGAGTGTTTTTGGTTCACCCTCATACCATACAAAAGGTGTCAGCACCCATGTGAGCTTGTGGACCTACACCCATGTCCATATTAAAGAACTCACAAAATGAGACAAGAGTGTCCTGAAGTAGCCTTGAAAAGCATTAAAGCATAAAAGAACACCCCCTTTACTTTCATTCTCCTTTTGTTATTCCCATTTTTCCTTGTGTATCGAGAAGAAGGCCTAGACAGGAAAAAAAATGGCATGTTTCAATAGCTAAGAACTAGTTTCTTTTTAAGTCTTCCAACAGATATAGCAATCAACCGAGCAGAAAGAGAGAAGGATTTACAAAGCCAACCCTGAATTAATTATCGGAAACAGGACTTAGTTTGTTGTTGCTTTTTTCTGATATTTCTTATAGAGTTACAATTTTTTCTGTTTTATAGGTGTGATAATCTAGGGGATGATAAAAGGTTGTTCCCCGTCAGGAGTAATTATAACTTAAAAATGGATAGGAAAAGAAGTTATACCTTCCACTTGAATCCATCAATTCTTCACCAATCATAGATCTGTCTTTTTGCCTTGTTTTAACATTCCTTAATTTTTTACAAGATACATGCAAACACACTGATAATAGGACAAGACAAGGTGACAGAAAGAAAAAAGACAGTAAAATTATTGTCATATAAAAAAGTTGCTACTAGCCTTTTTTTTTTTTTTTTTTTTTTGGTTATATTCAGTTTGGTGCAGCACACAACAGAAAGGGTATAAAACTAAACAAGAACGAAGGAATTAGTTCATCTGTCATTTATCTATGCAATAAGTATCCTCCTCGCAGATATTTTCTTCTGTTGATTATGATCTGGGCTATACAGCTATAGAGGACTTTCCACTTCCTTCCTTGTATATGCTACTCAAATTTTCTGCATGAAGAGCAATGGAGAAGAATTTAATTCAAAAATAAATACAGGGTTGCATAATATAAGTATTATCGTACCTATCTATTTTATAAACCCTTCTTTCTAGTCATGCTTGGCTCCAACGGCTACATTTCAATGGTTTCTTGACCAAAAGAAAACTGACAGTTAATAAGAATTGTAAATTAAGAAGTAAAAGAGAACTGACAAAGCAGTGAAATACCTTGGCATTTGCAAGTAACTAAGGTTTACTAGAAACCATGCTGACGGCCCAAGTGCTGGGAAGTATTAGGGATATTGTTAGGCGTTGTAGTTAACACAAGAATGCTATCAGCTTCAGATGAATTCTGGAAGAAGACGGATTTGTGTTCAGCAGCAAATTTTGCAGGAGAAGTAAACAAGTTGTTGGGAAGGGTGTGCTCAAAGCTGCTTCCACAAAAGATAGAAAACGGGAAATTCAGTAAACGGTCATATGGAACAGAACCTCTGTAGTCGAAAATTAAATTCAAATAAACAAGTGTCCCTCTCTAAGAACTAAGCTATTCTATGATGTGGTTCAACATCTAGAAAAAGTGCATAGATATTTGATTCGTACTGGATGCTCTTTTTTCATTTTTTTCCCCTCTTCTCTATTTATCTTTGTATACATTCAAATAAAAGATGTTCAACTTAATAACCTTATATTTCGTCTAAACTTGATTTTTAATACCTCTCTGGGCGATCAGAGTCTTCAGAATCTGAAATCTCCTTGTTTTCACTTTCAGTATTATTGTTATCCGAAACTTCAGTCATTTTGATAGGCAGCTTCTCATCAGATCCAACTGCTTCTTGGATACCATTAATCTCTGTGACACAGAAATATAAAGGGCCACTTGTTATTAATTGGAACATAGATATTTTTTTCGAACAAGTAACTCTAAAGATAAATATAAATTGAATATAAGAATTCAACTGAGCTGACCTTCTGGTATTTCTTGATTTATGGCATCAAATGGAAGATCGAGACTTTTAGTTATCTGAGGTTGAGACTGCAGTGAGGAATTAAGGGCAGCTACTGAGAGGCTTGGTATTAATTGTTGATTATATTGCTGATTTTTGACGTCTCTGAGTTGAAAATTCATCATTCCTTGCTCTTCGAGTTTGATACTATGCAGCAATTCAGCCTCCTGTTCGAATTTTCTTCTCTGCATCATATCTTGTGCATTGCAAAATAATTTAGACCCTAATTGAAAGATAAAACGAAAATCAGATAATGGATTCATATATTAGAAGTCTATCAATAGCCAAGCTCGTTTGCTTACCCAAAGGGAGATCATATTCCTCTCTTGAAGCAAGCTCCGATAGGCTTAAACAAGCCATATGCTCTTCTCTCTCTATATGTTGTTGACATTGATGTTTCCTAGGAATCGTTCGACTAATGATAGAACGAAATAATAAACAAGTTTTTAAATAAGTGAAGATGTAGATAGAAAATGGTACCTGTCCACGACTTTTCCCTTTTCTTTGTAGGGTTTAACAAGCACACGAGAATCGCCCACAAAATGTGGGTTTCCTTTTGCCAAGATGAGCTTGACAGTTTCAGGGAAGGCGAAAGTAACAAATCCAAACATTCTCTTCTGCTGATATGGAATTCTAACATCTTGCACTTGTCCATACATACTGCAACCAGAACTTCACAAGGATAATGAGTACACTGTTTACTTGCAATTTCAAGAATGTATGTTTTCAGCAGCCACAAATCACTAACCTGAAGTAATTAGAAACATCTTCTTCCTTAAATGTGCTATCAGACGGAAATGTCAAATAAATTTGCCGTGAGCTTGAATTCGCACTTCTGATCAATCCCATTGCTGAATAATCATTCTTGTCAGGTCGGCCACATCCAAATTTGTGGAATTCTTCACCCATTGTCAATGCAGCAATGGCTGATCTATAATGCAGCATGTTGCCAATAAGACATCACAGAGAACTAGTTGAAACACAAAGTCCCACATAAAGACGCTGTAACAGGTCAACAACCAAAGTATTGGCTAATTGATATACCATTCTCAACTATCTAAAACTAAATGTCCCACCTGTTTGAAAATTCCTGTTTCTGTGGTGATCAGAAAATAATGAAATCCATATAGAAATTAGTTGAAAAATGCTTTAGGAATAAATAAAACACCATTAAACTAAAATTACCAATGCCGAAGTCAAAAACAACTATTTAACAAGACAAAAAAAAATAGTATATAACTCAATTATCATGGTATGCATAAATAATAAAGCAACACAAAGCAAAAATTTCATATATATAAAGTAAAAATATAGTTGATTTTTTTAAAAGTACCTCTGATTCTCATTCAAAAAGTTCATGCACTTGTTGTAAGCAAAAGGATCGTGACCTCCTAAAGCCATTAATGCCAACTTCTGCTGTTGAATGGCCCTTATTTTCAACAATTTATCAAATTCTGAATGAATTTTGCTTGGAGACCCCACATCAATTCCTCTACCATGCAAGAACTTGCAACTGCTACCATTCTTGCAAAACCCTCTGGCATAGAACAAGCAAGGCCTCCACCTGAAACCTATACAATCATTTTCATCCTCTACATGGTCAAGAAAGGTATCATTATTCACTGAACAACTTCCGCCACTTGCACTCATTAGCGGATCCATAGTAGGGTCGTCAAAAAATGACAACTGATCTTGAACTACTTGATTTAGCCCTCCAACACCACCACCACTAATAAATTCATCACCAAAATCATTTCCACGGAAACGTGAAGAAAGTGGGGATCTTGATGAACCTAAACCATTGTTGCTATTAAAATTAGTAATAGAGCCATAAGAACCAGGCTTGGGACTAATCAAAAATTCGGCACTGGGAAAAGAAGTGTTGTTGTTTAAGTGGAGATCACTATTTGAAATTAAGATTTTTGGTGAATGTTGACAAAATGGGTTGTTTGGCTTTGTGAGATTTGACAAAGGAGTTGAAGGTTTAGACGAAGAGAGTCCTAAAAAGTACTTTGCTTGGTTCATGTAGGATATCAAATGGGATTCAGGGCCAAAGGCTAATCTTATCAACTCCTCCTCCCCTTGTTCCTGTAAGAGTATATAACCCATGATTTTTGAAGAATTTTCTGGATCGAAACTTTTGATTCTTGACATCACTATTTTTGTTGCCTCGTGTATATCCATGGTTCTAGGATCTTCCCCTCTGAATATATTGAGAGAAAAGGGTTTTACGTACTAGTTATGAGTCAAAATCTTAGATATGCATAGAGAGATTACAGGACGGTGAGATTATTGTGAAGCAGTTGCCAAGATTCAATCTTCTTGTAAAAGGTAATGATGAAAATGTGTATAGTTGGATAATCATATCATACGAAATACAAGGGGAATACAGGAGTGTATCCATAGAAAGAGAGTGTTTGTAGGCATTACCTTATCTTCTAGCTTTCATTTCATTTCATGCATATCTTTGGGCAACTTTACAGGCTCATGATTTCGTTTTCAGGGCTTGGAGGTGGCAGTCAAGGGCGGACGAAACGGTGGTGGGTTGGTAAGAAAGGCAGTTGAATGGTAAAAGGCAATTTTGCTTTGGTGACGAACCCACAACTTTTGGTGGCAGTTCAACCTGCAGCATTGGGGAGTGTAAAAGCCCTCTACCGATATACACAAACATATATATCGCGTATCTGTGGGGCTCTCTCTCTATATCTATCTGTTGTGGATTTGACCATTGGTGGGGGAATAAAAATCAATTTGGTCCTTGAACTTTTCCTTGTTTTCCAATTCCATCTCTAAATTCAAAGTTATTCCAAATCAATCATCTACATTTCTTGCTTTATTAAAAAATGGCTTTATTTGGAAAAATGAATTGCATGTGGCTTGTACGAGATGTCTGTATAAAATAACTACTTATAGTAGCTCAACGTAACTTACATGTAACAGTTTGTTACTATATATATGAGATAATAAAAAATTATTACATTAATGTATCAAATAATAAATTATCACATAAGAAAACCACCACTAGTTCTCACTACGAAAAGCATTATTTGTTTGTATGTTACATTGAATCAAATCCTATCTCCTAATTCTAAGAGGTGACGATTTGATGATATGTAATGTGGGTTTCTCTCATATATATACCGGTGGTCCCTCAACTTTAGACCGTGTCCTAAGTACATCCCTAAACTCAAAATAATTGATGACTTTAAATTAGGTTCTCCTCCATCCTTCCATCCAAATTCGATACTTATTATTAATGTAACAACTTATTTGGTAAGGTGAATTGTGCCCATTGAACTATAGGGTCATCTAAAATATCATATCTCGTCTTTTCCAACCTCAAATTTGTTGGATGAAGCACAATTTGATGAGATGGAATTTTGAATTTAGTGAGAGAATTGGGACACAAACTAAAGTTTTAGGATCAAAATGGGTTCCTAATCTATTATGGGGTTCTCAAGTCTCTCTATCTTGTTCATTAAGGGGGCTACAACTCGTACGGTCACACTTAATCGTTATTGCATCTTTGTACAATAACCAATTTCCATACCACACCCTTTAAGAGACCCCATAACGATCGGAAGATGAAAGAAACATAATTTGGTAACTCGAGAGAACATTGCCCTACCCTCTTAAAATGTGTACGAGATAAAAATCGGGACAATTTTGAACTGACCTAAGAGGTGTGCACAAGATAACATGCTCTCATCAGAATATGTTTGCGTTGGCTGGGCTTCATACAAGCCCATGAAAAGCCCATTTCAAAAATAGGCACAATAGCTAGTCAAGCCTCACGCGGAAAGCATTGCTAATTCAATGTGTGAGAAATCCTTGCCGAACTGTTACTCCAATTAAGGAACTTATTTGGACAATTGATCTGCAACGATCAACTAACTCTTGGACTATGAAAGGAAGCTTCGATTATATGGCCCGCAATTGGGATCGAGATTGACAAGTAATATAGTAATTATAATAGCCGAATCAACTATTGAGGAAATAATGTTTAATAACGAAAATATCAACCCAGGATCACCTTATAAGTAGGAATGGCAACGGTTCGGTTTCGGTACGGTTCGACCAAAGCCATCACCGAACCGTCAAATTTTTTGTCATACCATAACCGCACCATAACATCGTAAATCGATTCAGTTCAGTTCGTATCTCGATCCGATTCGGTTAATAACCACAAAAATAAGTTATTTTTTATAGGTCCATCCGTCAAATTGATATAAACCAATTTATGAAAAGAGAGTCAATGAAAACAAAAACACAATATTCCAAAAGAAAATGCAAACATTATCCCAAATTTCAATTGGAAAATACAAATTTAACAAACAATATTATAAATATAACAATACTAAACTTTTACTTCATTCTTGATTCTCGTGCATTGTAATTACTTGATTCATGCTCAATAATTCAAAAGTTTCAACCTTAACTCATATTCAATTTTCATTATTCTCCACAACTCTTTCTAATATAGGTCAGCACTCAAAATTGATTCCTACATAGTAAATAAGAAATGTAAGTAGAGAATACAACGATACTACCTAATCCAAAATGATTTTAACTAAGATTTAAATAAAAAAATGTATCTCTTCGTTAATTTCTTCCTCACTAAACCTTGTCATCCTTAATAAAAGAATAATTTTTTTTAAGCGGGTAATCGGTTCGATTTCGGTTCGAATGCATAAATACCATACCCGCACCACCACGAACCGGTTCATTAAAATCAAATACCATATCCGCCTCATTGCACCATCGGTTAGATTTTTTCGCCCCCATTAGGTTTGGTTAACTGCGATTTTCGATTTTAACGGTTCAAATTGCCATCTCTACTTATGAGGCAGAAAGATCATAGGGCAAATGTAACAAAAACATTCCAATAGCTATTCATATCAATTATCTTGATCCAACTCAGACTTGAGTATTGAAAGGTTTATGTTCGAAACAGGGACGGAGCTATGAAGGGTGCATATGCCGACACTGGGTGCCTGCAAATTGGAAGGCAAAAACTCATAGAAGTGAATAAATCATCAACATTGAAGAATCTTGAAGGTGCTGGTTATATATATATATATATATATATGCACACAAAGTAGATGAGTGTTGTAGATATAGGGGGGCTGTATTTGTGTGTGTTGAGAGAGTGTATTTTTGTAACAAAATATTACATAAATTTTCATTAATTAAATTGTTTCTTTAATATTTAGATTTAACAATTTGATATTATAGGTAGCAATCATACTTCTATAAAGTTTGTTTGATTACAAAGAGGTAAATTAAATCTCGATAGAAAACCTAAAAGTCATAAACGTAATGAAAAAGCTCAATAACCAAAAATTATACCACATGACAATTTTACATAGAATTTTATCTTCAAGGACAAGACCTACAAGAAGCAGTTGACATAAGTGACACGATACCTCTAGACAAAATCACGGCTATGTAAAAGTAGATAAAAGCAAGCACAGCTATGTTTGTCATAAAGACAATAATCTAGAAATGATTGTTTGAGCATGTAAAGGATACGAACACGTCAAGCAAATTTTGTCCGCACTCAATAATAATCCTAGTTCCACCCCTGGTCTGAAACTCCTTCTAGGATACGGTCTAATGCTCATCTTTTAGTGCATGGATTATCCTATAGCATTGTTATATAATCAAGCCTAAATTTCATCAACGAAATTGGTAACCATTCTTGCGTTTTTAATACACCCTGAAATTTTAGACACAACATTTCTCTATAGATATTCGAGTATAAACGAAAGTCATTATGGTAGGGGAAAATTACAGTTGGGATTCTAAACCTTTTTAAATTATTGCAGACTATATCCAAATATTTTATTTTTGCAAATGGAGTCTCAAATCTTTCGTCTCGATTGCATCTTGAGAATATATTAACAGAATCCATTCATTTGACCATCAGTTGACTAAAAATCAACGCTTGATCAAATTTTGACAACTTTTAAAAGGGTGTAGTGGTAATTTTATATTATCCCATATAAATAATTAAAAAAAAAAAACCCCCCATCTTCTTCTTCTTCTCTATCCTATCCTAACCATATCCCTCTCTCCCACTCCCATCTTCTTCTCCATATCCTATATTCTTCCATATGTCATCCACCTGCAATTAAAACATAATATTTTCCCGAAGTAATTAAATAATGTGGACTTTGTTTTTTCAAGAATATCAATATCATATTCGTTTAAAATAAATATAATTTTTTATTTAAGTTCTTCAGAAGCATAAACATAATTGAATATTTGTGTTTTATTCAAGAAAATTAACAATATTATATATTATTCGAGAATATTAAAAATTATAAAGTTGTACTCTTCAAAAGCAATAATATCATATTGTATCATAATATAAACATATGTTTTTTCATAAGCATAAATCAAAATATTTAACCAATCTAAAATTTCACAAATATGATATACAATAGATAAGAAACTTTTAAGAATAGATCTCCTTGTATTTAAAATTTTTAGAGAACCTTAAATAGTCGACAAAACTCATATTATTCAAATACGTAAATTTAAAATTTTTTGCAATACCTATTTACATAGCTATTTCTCATAAATGAACCGCTTGACTTGTTCTTATTCGTAGAATCTGACGGACAATGTGTTTTGAACATTTTGTCCAAATTTTACCATGGTCGGATCACGAAACGCTAAAATGTCAACGTTTTGATCGCAACTATGTGGCTGTCCAAATTCTGTGAATTTGTCCATTGTTAATCTCAAATTTCCTCTCTATTTTGGGTTATCTCCTTCATGCAGATAACGTGTTGTAAAACTAAAGGAAGAAGAGATAAATATAACTGTAGAAATAGAAAAAGTCAAAACTTAAGTGTATCATTTTATTATGACGATGGAATCATATTTATAGAGTTCAACATAGAAGTTACAATCTAAATAAAATATACCCTTATAGAGTAGACATTATTTAAGTATTTAATAAGACTAAATAGATATTAATAATTTTCTCATAGTATTACAATAAAGATAACAATGTGAATACATAAAATTGAGATAAAAATGCAAAAGAATAAAAAATTAAGGGCCGACTGCCATAATTTTCTCTTCAATTATTCAATGCCTCAGTCAAGAGTTGACATTTTTACATCGTTTTCAATTGTATCATGAACTCTAAAAATTAAATTTTTCACAATTAATTCAATTCACATCTCTTTAAAATGAGATTTTTGGAGAAAATATGTTTTAAAATAGTGACTTTTTGGAAACTAGCAGTAAGTACATGCTTTGCACGTCTTATGTATCGGGTGAATTATATACGTACAATTTTTTGAAAGTTGTTGAGATAATTGATATTATTAAAGAAAAAAGTATAATTATTAAATATAATTTATATATCATATATGAATAAAACTTTTTACTGAAATGTGTATATAATGCCAAAATACGGAATAAAATGAAATATAATCTTTTAATTACAATAACACTTCTTCGAATACAATATTTTTTTTATCAATGTCTCACGACTCTCCATACTTTTATCTGTAGTTCACATAAACACAAATATGTAAATCATATAAAAATATCCATACATATATAAATTATTGAAATACAAACACAATTAATCTACTATTATATTAATGTAGCCCTTTATATATTGTGATAATTTTTTATGAATATGTATTATATATATTTAGCTTCAATTCTAAGTAATTAAACTTAAATTGATTTATATAAAGTACTCTAATGTAAAGTAATGAAATTTAAATTTTAAAGAAGATAAAATGGAGTAGAGTTATATTAAATTTTGGACTTATAATATAATTGATAATTAGTAGCGATTATTATACATTTAAAGTTAAAAGCGTGATTGTCAAAAATAAAATATAGAAGGTCGGAAATGGAAATTAAAAGTTTTCCATACCAAAGTTTCAATTATTGACATTATCGTTTTAATACTAAATATATAATGTTAACAGTTGAAGCATTTCTATTTTATATCATGTTCATAAATGTTAGAATTTTTACAAATGAATGTAAATAATGTAAACAATAATGGTCCTAATCATATTTATGTTGAGGATTTAGAATTCCAACGGTTATTATTCAAATAATTAGTTACTTACTATTCAATTTTGATGAACAAAAAAAAATACCACTATCAATTTCTTTAAGGGTAATGAATGTGATTTTATTTTTTTGATTATTTGATTTCTTTAAAAATTGTTGACCTCGATTTCCCCTTGTGGTTTCATTGCAAGTATTTTAAGTTTTTTCTTATTACAATGAAGGTAAATCAAGACAAGAACACATGTTCAATAATGATTAAAAAATATTATTACATACTATTGTTTTTTGAAAAAAAATATATTTATATAATTTCTTTTAATTGTATGTGATAATAATTTTATTAAATAATTATTAATAATTGTGTTTAGTGGAAATTAATTGACTTAATTTTCGAAAGCAATAATAATTATTAATTATCTTATTTAGAGGAAATAAATTGAATCATTTGGTATTTTTTAGTTAATTATATATGTAGTATTATTATTTCTTTCAATTGTATGAAATAATATTTTTATTAATTGTGTAATAATAATTGTGTTTAACGGAAATTAATTGACTTAATTTTCAAAAGCAATAATAATTATTGATTATCTTATTTAGAGGAAATAAGTTGAATCATTTGGAACAAATTTTAATTAAGGGTAAATAATAAATATAGCATATTAATGCAACCTCTCGTTTTTTTTTTTTTAATTTTCTTTTTGTAAACCAAATGAGGGTATATTGGACATATAGGTAAATGTGTAATGGTATAATTGGTATTCAAAAGTTTCTCTTCAATCCACACTTTTAAAATATTGAAGATGTGTGCTTAAAATAAGGAAGAAAATTGAGTTTATGTAAAACATTATTTTATGGGTGAATGTGTTGTTGAAAATAAATTTGAAAAATTGCATTTTTAAAAAAATGGAGTCCAAGCATGGGTTAGAAATATATCATGTGAGCACAATTTAAATCTATGATTTTTGCACTGCCACTAAGCTCCTGTTTGGCAACCATTATTTCAAACATTTTTTTCTACGTAGTTATTTTCAACCACACATTCACACAATCAAATACTCTGTACGTAAACCAAAATATTTTTCTATTTTTTAACTACACAATTTCCTAAAAATCATATCATCATTCAAAACTTTGTTTTCCTAAAATAATGGTAGCCAAACATAGGCTTTTTAAAAAATCAAGAATTTATACTTATCTTAGCTTTCGATTTTTATTATCATATCCAAGTTCAACCTTGAAAATTTTGAACTTCTAAGCAATTAATTATTGTGAAGTTTTTACATATAATTTCTTTACAAGTGTAACAATTTTTAAATTTCATAATATTATTAATATTTAATCGCGAAAACTTTGTCCGTCTCACTTTTTTATACAGCCTACTATGAAGCACCAGAGGGTGGAGTGGGCTGAAAACGGAAATCGGCCCACTCCACCTTGGATGGCAGAACTACTGTAGATTTTATCGTTATCCGTTCTCTTTCTTCAAACTGACGTTTAAAGAGAAATGCTACAAAAAGGGATTAAAAAAAGAAAAAAAGAAAAAAAAAACAGGGTTAAAAATAGGGAGGATATGTGTCAAAGCATGAATGAACAATTTGAAAATTTAATAAAAAAAATAAAAATTCCAACAAAATGCTACCAACTCAATCTGTCCACACTTCCCTGTTTTTAATCATGTTCAACAATCATTACTATTTTCTCCTACGGCCTATCTACTCTGATAAATTGGCAATAAGAAATGGGGAGGCTAGTGGGGACACCATGGTGGGGAATTAGTGTTCCAGTAATTCTAGAGGTAGCATCATCGATATTATTATTTAGGTGAAGGAGATTAAGAGGCTTTTCAATCTCAACATTATGCTCATCTTCATCATCGACTGATATAGTTAAGAGGTCTGTTCAAAGCCAAGCCAATTGAAAATCTTAACGTCGATGGTGTCCAAACATGGAGTGAATTACTCAAATGGTCACTGAACTTTCTAAAAGGTTTTCATGGGGTCACTGAACTTTAAAAATTACATAATTTATCACTGAACTTTACAAAAAGTTTTCTAAGGGTTGGGTGATTTTTAAAGTTCAGTAACCCTGTGAAAACTGTTTACAAAGTTAAATGACCATTTGGATAATTCACTCTCCAAACATGCTCTTCAACTACTTGTTTGTGACTTATCAAAGGAGGAAATCCAATGGGCAGCTAAAAGGGGAACTCACTTTTTCAGACAGAATATGTATTTTTTTTTCTTTTTGTATTAGGTTCCTCAAATTTTGAGGCTCTAAACTATTGTTTAGATAGCTTTGATCCAGAGTCGAACTTGATCACACTTGCAGAGATATTTTTTCTCATAAAGATTCTAAAGCTATTTCTTCATTTATATTTATCTCTTCTTCGTTTAGTTTTACAAAGTGTTATCTGCACGAAGGAGATAACATAAAATAGAGAGGAAATTCGAGATTAATAATATACAACATGGTGTTTAAATAATAATCTTTTCTTTTCACTGCAAAATGCACTAAGAAAACAATAATCAATTTATAAATATTTGCAAATTATTGGTTTTAAATATTTGTTACAAGTTAAATTATGGTACAACTTGACAACCTTGCAGGGGGTGTTTGGGAGTGTTTCATATCAAAAAATTGATTTTTTGACCATTATTTTATTATTTCAATCGTAAAATTTGACTTCTTATCTTACAGGTAGCGTCTACTTTTTCCCTAACGATCAAAAAATCAATTCTCACAATTGCTAACAAATGAATATGTTTAGTAAAAGAATAAAGAAATTTGGCGGCCCAACTCAATCAAGCGATGATTTCATCAGTCTTGCAGTCTCTAAATTTGATCTCAACTTTGTTCCCAACTATTCCGACAATGTCACAACATTCACATCTATCCATCTGAGAGAGAGAAGGAAGATAATGCAAAATTTAGTAAAATATTAACTTTTATTAATTCATAAAAATATTATTCATAACCTTGATTAAATCATAATGTTTAGAAAAAAAATTACCATGAAATAAACTGTGGACAATGGTTCTATTACCTCATATCGTTTTGTTGCTGGTGAGATGACTTGAATTCTAAAAATATTATCTGCAGTACGATTTTCACTTGATGAACAACTCGACAATCCTCGTGGTGATGCACGAGAATATCTTGTAACAATTTCATTCTTCGAGGTCTTGTTTATGGATTCAAAGAAGAAAACATGAGGAGCCTCACAAGAATCATTGGAGGGTGCGCGTGTATTAAACATGTAATTTGGCGCGTTTGACTGTCCTTGGGGTTATCATGAAGGGGTAACCATTGCCTGTTGCTAGACCTAGGAATTATTTGCCTTAAATTCTTTGTAAATTTGTTGTTAATTTTTCTACATCATTAAAATTGCATGTGGCCTTAGGAAAGTTTACTGGACTATTCTATGTGAATTATGTTCATACTTTACTTGTGGCCATTATTTGGCATTGGTGGCAAATGTAGGTCTAAGACAAATGCGAAAAATAAAATATATTTTAATTGTGGTAAAATTTGGGTATAGTTGAAAGAGATTGTCCTAGAATGATAATAAAAGGTAAGATGAGGATAGAGACAAGGCGTATGTGACTTTAGGGTCGAGTAGTGATCCTAGTGAGGTTTATTGAGAGAATAAACCTGGTTCTTACATTGCATCCGTGTGTAATCCTTTCTACATGTATGTGGTCACTTAATTCTATTGCAATGTTAATTTTACATTTTCAATATGTTTGATGTGTATAATTGCATGAATTAGAGTAACTTATTACTTTGTGTAATATGTTTACATGCATAGTGGGTTAAGTTTTGTGGCGTACTCTATTTGTTCTGTGAGTGGTGTGAGAGTGTGGTAGTGAGAAGAAAGTTGGGCAATCGTTTCTCTCCTTCATCTTTGTGACGTGTGTAATCCTTTCTACATGTATGTGGTCACTTAATTCTATTGCAATGTTAATTTTACATTTTCAATATGTTTGATGTGTATAATTGCATGAATTAGAGTAACTTATTACTTTGTGTAATATGTTTACATGCATAGTGGGTTAAGTTTTGTGGCGTACTCTATTTGTTCTGTGAGTGGTGTGAGAGTGTGGTAGTGAGAAGAAAGTTGGGCAATCGTTTCTCTCCTTCATCTTTGTGAGCCTGGGTGGTTTGTAAGATTATGTGAGGCAGCCATGTTAGGGTTACCTTCTTTATTTTTGTGAGTCTCTTTTGTGAGTGTAGTGAAGTAACCGACTCTATCTTCGATTCTCTTTGAGAGTGCCACCTTCACCATTTTCTTTGTGGATTTTTGAGAGCTTTGATGATTGGAGTAACTTTTGTGGTCACCGAAAGGTGTTGTTTTGCCGTAGTGAGTTTGTGATGCATTAGCAGTGAGTTGAATATCTTTTGGTAAGGTATAGTATAGATGCCTAGGGGTAAATGGTGATTTGTACCAGGGGATGTGGAGTGTGACATTTGGATCACGAGTGGAGATGTGATCAAATGTCTAAAATTCTTTATCTAGAAAGAGATCCTGATCAGGTGGAGTGTGAGAGAGGCACTTCTATCACTTCTATTGGGTAGAGACCCATTATCCACGTAGGTTGGGAGAAGTGATGTAGAGATAGAGGATTATCCCGTTGACTTAGGATCTATTGTGACTTGCCAGTTAGATATAAGTTGAGTGATCTGTCTAGTGAGCTTAGTGGGCGATGAGAGAAGATGTGTGTTCTCGATATGTGAGCAACACGGAATGGGATAGGATAAGTGTGGTGAGATCTTTTCTTAGGGTCATTTATGCATGTGTCGCATATGTGGTTGACCGTGTTTTGATTGATTTGATATTAATCTATTGTTCTATGTGAACGTGTTTTTTGAAAAGATCTGTATGTTATCCTATAGTATATTGTCATCGCACGTGTATTTGCTCTTAATTGTTTACTGTTAAATATTTGCTTTTACTTGGGTGTTTTTGACCTTAGCCCCAATGAGTACATGAAACAGGTATGGTATGTGTTTCAAGTTGGAAACACGATGTAAGGTCTGTAATCCAATTTTATTGACTACCTTGATTATGCAAAATTGGTTAATTTAACAATCGTTGGATAAATTAATTAATTGGATTTGTTATTTATATTTTCGAATTAATTAATTGGATTAATTAATTCACGGACCGGGTTTAATTAATTGGATTAATTAATTATTGGACCGGACCGGGCCGAGCCTGTTTGGGTTTATATAAATACATAACTAGGGTTTGAGGTCCATTAAGGTTTTCATTATTCTTGCTGGCACAAGAGAAAACCCTAGAGACTGCAATCATATTCTCTGTGTGGATCACCGTTGGAGGCTGGACAATTGGACAGCTGTGGTGGCGAATCAAAGTTGTGGAACGAAAAGAAAAGCAATAGGATTGCAGATATGGAAAAGGTACAATCTTATCACAATTCCTAACCAAACACAATGAGATCTATTGGATGGGAATCGAAATAATTTAATTTTCCGCTGTGCATGTATAAGTAGATTCCCAACACACTCAACACGTCTAGGGTAAAGAACATGATCTATTAATTATGAGTTAAATTTTTCATTAGTAACTTACACTCCTATTACGATTTACTAGGGGGGCAAATGAATTTTAATATGTTACATTTCACCACTCATTTCCCACGTTTCATTAGTTATGGAATTTCTAACTCATTCATGCTTTACTCATTGAACTTATACTTTCGTCACGTTTTACTTATTGAACTTTAAAATACTTTTAAATGGTCAATGAACTTTACTTGTTGAATTCGACTGTTCAAAAATTGAAATTTTTGAAGTATAAAATACCAAACATGAAAACAACACCCTTCTTTTCTCTTGAATTACTTTGTGATGACTCTAAAAATTATATTTTGTTAGTGTTGATTAATATTATTTATTCTAAATCGAAAATTTCTTAGACTATTTGAGATATAATTTTTTATTTTCTTCATAAGTCTACAATTTCAATTGAAATAAAAAATAATATCTCTATTTTATTTCCTCGATGTAAAGGAAGATTATGATTTAAATTAGGATTTATATCAATTTGAAACTAACATTCTTCTTCCCCTTGAACATAGAGAAATTATATCTTCTTCATCAATATCAATATTTTCATTTTAGATAGAGAGTCTCACATCTAGTTGAATTTATCTTATTTTTTAATCTAGGTAGAATTGCACAGGAATTCAACTTTACTCTAAAACATTATGAAGTTCATTTACCACTCGAAAGCATTTTACTATTGAGTGAGTCATAGAGTACACTGTGTTAAATTTCAATGACGACTCGGAGGCATTTTAAATTTCAATAAGTAAAACATGACGTAAATATAACTTGAGAGACCAATAAAACATTTAACTCAAAAATTATCACCATCTATATTAAGAAAAATGGAGATCCATTATAAATGGAAATTTGCAAGAATTGATGAAGTATATGTAGGAGAATATAAAATAATAATAAAAAAGTTCTCTGTGGCCTGTTTTGTCGGATAATATTGAAGAAAACATAACTTAAAAATCTAAGATATGTACTTCTATGTGGACAAGGAATAATTTTCACCATGCTGGAATCAATCTATTTTCATTTTCAGTTTTATAATATTTTATTTTACATTTCGTGAATGAGGAGAAAAAGGAGACGTGATTGAGTTCATCTTAATTACGAAAAGTATAACGTGGCGGCTCATTAAATTGATAATTGAATTTTGATTTAGTCAGAAGTCAACTTTCAAGATCCAGTTTCCACTGTTAATATTTAATTATAGAGAAAAATAAATATTTTAGAAACATATTATGCAAATGGAGCTAAGTACAGAATAGATGTTGAAAATTAATTTGGAATATACTTCAAAAATTAAGATTATAGACTCATTAATGAATTATAAGTAGCTATATTAATTACCTGGTGGATTCCTTTCTGGGGAGACAGATTGACTCCAATGTCAGCTATACAAGCAAAGGTAATGGTATCAGCAGAACTGAAATGTGCATATCTCCTAAGACATCCTTCCATATCTTTAGCCAAAGCTTTGGCCAATGGGTAACTCAACATGAATCCAGCCCCACCAAATCCCTGGTTGAATGAGTACCAAAAATTTGACATAATAAATTCAGATTGCCCACCTAAGTAATAATACTTAGTATGATCGTATTTTGCAAGAACATCAACCATATTTTCAACGAAAAATATTGAATCATCGTCTCCCATGACTATCCATCTGATGCTTTCATCGTCCTTCACCTCTCGAAAGACTTCCATTATTCCATGAACCATTCGGATCATGACCGGGGCTTGAGCTTGGGTTTCTTGAAGAAACTTGGTAAGGTCGTCCGAGACACGATACGGAGGTGACGCCTTCGACCACGGGATGAGCTTTCCTGTTGGAGGTTTGTCTAGATATAGATAGCCCTTCGTCACCTTTGGCTGCCACCATGATTCGATGTATGCAATTCTGTCATGCCAAGCTTCTTCAGAGCCAAGAAGTCCAAAAACAAGGTGGTTGAGATTTGTTGGAGTAACCTCGGACGTTTGATTGGTACTAGAAGTAGTGGAAATGGGGGGCCTTTTCAGCAATGGAGAAAACAAGCTAGGATTTGATGGACTGTTGTGATTTTCATTGGAGAGGAAGATTACAATCAAATAAAGAAGACCCACAATCAGAAGAGTTTTGCACAGGCTACCCACAGCAAAGTTATCAGATCCAAGTCTTTCTCTGATTGAACTCATTTTGGATACTATGTTAAGGAAAACCAGCGTGATTTTTGATCCCGGCCGACCTACCTTCTTCAATGGATCTCAGAGACGAACCCGAGAAATTTCTTATACAAATTTTACATGAGGGTAACCTAGATGGCTTGCGAGAAAATTTAGGCAATTCGTGAATTTCATGCCTTAGCTTGATCCATGACTCCACTAGCTCAACTCTTGAAAAATTCATTTAATAATACACTTTCCTATTTGGTCCTCTTTTCTTAAAATTCATTTTCAGTTTCAACAGCACATTTCACTAACTATTATCAAAATCTGCTAAAAAAATTAAATTTATTCCAAACGAAATTGGAGCTTAATTAATAATTACCATACAGAAGGACCACATGTATGACCGCTAATTTAGTGCAGCAGTGTTTTTTCTATAAAAGATTTGAGTAATGCTATTCATCTATTCTAGAGATGATCACAAGTTTACGTATCAGTGAGGGCACAAGTGGAAAGTGCAATTACACTTCATTTTATCTATAAAAAATATGTAAGACATGTTTATAAAAAGTACTGCCATAAATGGTCAATTTACCGCCATGGTCCATTGGAATAAGGATTGATGTTGAAATCCATGTGAGAAGTTAATTTTTTGTGAGTGTTGGTCAAAAAATTGTGAAGTAGACAGCTTGTTCAGTTATGGTACAAATAAAGTTTATATCCGCCTTGCATCTATATATATGGGTAAATTACTAAGTATAGCGTATTCGTCGTCCCGATCTCGATCTAATTAAATGCATGTTAATAAATTTTTCATGTGTAACACGTTTTTGTTTCCGTGCTAACACGTTGTTATTATGAGAGCTATGATTCTCCTATACACAACAAATATTATGAAGCACGAGTTCAACCACTTCTTGGTTCCCTCATCGATCGATTGAAATAACAAAATATGATAAATTTCCATTTTGTTGCTAGTTTTTCTTTGACTCGAGAGCCTCTATCGTTGAATTGATTTCATTTCTAATATAATCTTTTTCTCATCTGTATTCACCATCTTGGAATGGAAAAGAAATATTTAAAAATGAGTTAAAATTTGAATGTCATCATAAGGTCACTATCACGTTTCTAGAGAGTAATTTTATTGTCACATGGCCTAGTAATCATTTCTAGCATAAACGAATATCATCATTCAAAAGTATTAGAAGTTGCAAGTCAATTTTCTGCTAATTTTTTTTTCACAAATCAATTAATCAACGATTGCATTCAGACTTCCTTGATGCACGACGAATTTCTAGGCTTATTCCATTGTACAAGATTTATCAATTTAAAGCTGTTTCTCCTTTCGTAGCTGAATATGACACATTGACAACTAATTTCCTCGACAAGAAACCATACTTTTTGTAATTGGACGAGTCACAATTATAGATAGTATGTTGTCGTGCATGTTGGACCATAAAGTGCACAACATGCACATGACACGATTCCCATACTAACTCTATTGCTGATCTCGAGCCATCATAGCCGTCTTCAATATTTTTGGCCGAATAACGAAACATCATCAGGTGGCAAGCGCAATTTTTGCCATCACACATTGGCAACACAATCGGAATTTGCAGTGTGTTACAGTGACGATTACTGTCACTACATTGCATCTTGAAGGGCATAGATCAAGTGCCAACGTTTCAAACATTAAAATAATCTTAATTGTAAACCTTTCGCATACATAAAATTTATATATTATTATACGCATTTTAACACATAAATTTCTGACTATCGGCGCGATGCAAGGATCTACGCATCCTTATTCTTAATTTTCAAATTGTGCATATAATATAATATCTATATATATTTATATTATATAGAGGTTCATAAATTCAAAATGCACTTGTGTTGACATGGTACGTCGTCCTAGGTAGAAGAAAGCCCAAGCTTGCTTTCTAATGAGTTAATTGCACCCCCAAATACTCCCGTTCCAATACAACTTTTGTTGACATTCAAAAATGGCCAATAGGTGTTGTTATACGTGGACGTGTTTTGTACTATATCTACTGTAAATATGTTTGTGAAAGAAGAAAAAAATATAGACAATATATTATGTTCTCCTTTCCATTCAAAGATCCATCTTCTAAAATGATACGAGAAGGGGGTATTTATAGTGTTACACATGAGATGTTGTTCATTGGATGAGGAGCCACATGGCTTCATCTTTTCAACCAAAGTATCTAATAATAGCCATCATTGTTTACTTCTTAGCCTGTGGTGCATTTAATATTCTTACACATAGCAGTCATCCTATTGACAAGATAAGATATTTATGCTCATTACATAGGTCACATCAATCAGTTCCTAAGATACGCTTGTCAGACCTTCTGGACGTCAAGGACCTCGGTGCTAAGGGGTTCGGTCGGAAGACGTCAACCCACTTCTGATGATCAAGGTTAGAACCACTTTGGAGTTTTAGTAAAATGACCTAGGAGTTCAGTGCAACAACCTCGGCTGTTGACCACTTATACAGTGTTTCGCTTTAGGGCCTCGACCACTTACTCAGGGCTTTGACTTAAGGACCTCTTGAACCTCGGTTTGAGGAATGGACTTCTTTTTGAGCTTTGGTGGACGTCTTTAAAGGCACTTTGGCTTACCCTTTGGAGAGCCTCGACTTGGGCTCTGTAAGCACCTTAGCTGACCTTTGGAGGCACCTCATCTGACCCCCTTAAGAGCCTCAAACTGAATTACTGATTTACATCTCATCCATGCATTCCACGTGTATTATTTTGGTGCCTCCACGGGGCATTTTATATTCGACTAGCAAAAATACTCCCCCAAGTCTAAGTCGTACATTCATGTGCAGGTCGGACATTTTTGTACCTATAATTTTGCGAAGTTTTGGCAATTCAACCGCTCTTTTTTGTTGTTCAAGGGATGTATCGTCCGTTCGTTTTGCTTGTGTTTTTCTTTTCTTTTTAAGAATGGTCCTCATCGGGATCCTACACTTTGTTTGTGTTGCCCCTTTTGGAATGGTGTTTTTCATTTTGGAGGTGACCCGCTTCAAAGTTCAGCTCATATGTTCAGTTTTAGGCTAATATTTTCATTAAAAGGCCTATTGGGCTCATAATCATTGACATGTCTTTTGAGCTCATATATTTTTCAAAGTGCCTCTTGGGCTAATTTTCATAGGAGTGCTTTTTGGACTACTTTCTTTTGTTCCTTCAAAGAAATTGCCTCGAAAAATGTCTATATTTTGTCCAAATTTCAGCAACATCTTCTCTATAATGTGGACTAAACTAGTCTTGCAACACAACACAATATGTCCACTACTCATGTATTAAATAAGCACGGGTCCATTTTGCCCTTCCAAATACTCATAACTATAAAATGAATAATGACAGATCACATTTTTCCAAGATATATATGCGAGAGTATGTCATGTGTATCACAACAACTCATATGCTTGATGACAGTATAGACATGTGATATGCATACTAGTGCTGGTAAAATAGTGTTGGGTCATGAAGCATGCTAGCCATAATGGACATGCAAGCCAACAGTAATCACAATAGTCTCCAAATTCAGACATAGATATTCACATAATAGGGATTTAAAAGTGAAATAACTTAATAAAAATTTGCACTAGCACTTATCGTGGACGTTGTTTGAAGCCTTGAAGTAAGCTAAGTCTTTGGCCTTGAAGTGTTGATGAAGGAGTTGAAGTTATGTGTCGAAGCTGTCAACTTCAAATATTTTGTCGAATTTTCGAGGAAGGGAACCGAGGTCCCTGTTGCCCGAGGCTATTTTTCGATTTTTTTTTCTAGAATTTTATGGAGCTGAGGCCCCTATTTTTCGAAACTCTTTGGCTGGTTATAAATGTGTGTGTGTGTATATATTTTATTATTATTATTTTTTTTTTTTTTACTTTTACCTCTTTGCAAAGGGTTTACTCTTCTGTGCAAAGGCATCCTCTTTGGTGTTTGATCCATCCATGAAATGTTTCTCTTCTCTCTCTCTCTCTCTCTCTCTCTCTCTCTCTTAATCTCCTTGTGTGGTAGATTGGCTCATTCGTGTCAAGGGCTTCCTGTATGGTGGAAAGGTTAATCCATGTAAGGAATAGTATAAGCTTTCTGAAGATAAACATAGCCATGATATAGCTAAAGTAGAGGTGTAATGAGTTCTCTAAAGATAAGTGTAGTTGTAATGCAACATTTTGTATGATGAGGCATCTCGCAAGGCAAGGAATGAATATCGAGCTGGTGGCTCGATTCAAACTATTAGAGTCTTATAAGCAGGCCTTTATAGACGAGATCTTATAGGTGGGGCTTGACGATAGTGAAGGGCAAAAATAAGCATCTAGCGAGGCAGGAAATAAACATTCCTCGTATAGCTCTCAAACTATTGGAGTCTTATACAATGACCTCAGAATGACGAGGTCTTACGTAGCAAAGGTGATGAAGCATAGGCAAAAATGAGGCCATCTATGGTGAGCCTAAAGCATAGGCAAGTATGAGGCCTTATATGATCAGGTATTGAAGTTTAGGCAAAAATGAGGCCATGTATGCTGAAGTGTTGAAGCTTAGGCAAAAATGAGGCCATATATGGTGAGCTTGAAGTGTAGGTAAGGATGAGGCCTTGCATGTTGAGGTACTAAAGTTTAGGCAAAATATGAGGCCTTATATGGTGAGCTTGTGGAAGCTCGTGCTTATACATAGGCAAAATATTAAAATTACCTTTAATTCCTTCAGTAATTTCATGCCTAAGTCGCTCAACTTTTGATCTGGTATGTTTTGATCCTCATATTTAACCTTTTATTTCAATCATACCCTTGATATATTGCATTCATGGTCCTTTAACTTTCATAATATCTACACTTAGTCCCCGAGTTCACATTTTTGTACGCTTTTAGTCATTTTCTCTTCTTTTGTGTTGTTCCCCTCATTTAGAGGCCTTCGATTTGTAAAATGGGTCTTCCAATAGCCTCTTCACCAAAGACCCTCTCCTTTTAGGGGATTTTCTTGTTTAATGTCACTTCTTCAGCAGCCTTTTCTTTTTCAAGGGTCTTACTTATTCTTGGCCTCTTTTTCAGAGGCCTCCCATTTTTCAGGGAGTCTACTTATTCTAAGCCAGTTCTTTCGAGGCATCTCGTTTCTCAGAGGGTCTTCTTCTTCATGACCTTTTTTTTAAGACCCTCGTCAGGGGTCTACTTATTTAAGGCTACTTCATCAACGGCCTCCTTCT